GAAGATTGTCTGGGTACAGGGTATTACACTGTCGGGCTTGCTCGACTTAAGCGTTCTCTCTTGTGATACCCTATATCCAAAGAGTAAAAGAGTGTTCTAGTTGTATAATGTCAAAGCCCACTCCGTTGGTTTATGCTGTTATTTCGTTGCTGTAAAAAAATTTCCGAAATGAGTTTCAATTATTTGTGTTGCCATATCCATATGAGGGGCAGCCGTCTCTAAGTCCTAGTTCGTTAAAAATTCTTCTTGAGCAAATTATACCCTGTACCTAAATGGCAAAAGGGCATATAAGTTTTGTGCAGATGTGTGTAGCACACAGTTAGTAATTATGTGTTCGTATTCTATGTTTTACATCAGAATTGTTTTTGTATTTTTGTGAGTATGCACCGCAGAATTAAGTCAAAGCAGCAAGAACAACAGCAACTGTTGTAGGCAAAGCTAGGGCAGAGACTACATTTATAACTATAACAATAACTTCCTTTACATTTGACCAATCATAATAAAACTTAACATGAGGACACATAAGCACTAAAGGAATGTAATTTTTGCCCAAAATTTTGCCCGCTGCGGTTGCTGTTGTTATTTTGGGTCAACTCTTTTCTGCACACACAAAAGGACACATATAGGCGCAATCCTGTAAATGGATGCTATTAAAGCAGCAAATAAACATAAGTACTTAATTATACCCTGTACCCAAAGGGTACAAGGGTATATTAGTTTTGTGCGAGTGTACATGTAACACACAAAAGGTGGCGAGGCAGACCCCACAAAGTATATATATTCTTGATCAGCATGACAAGCCGAGTCGATATAGCCATGCCCATCTGTCTGTCTGTATGAACGCAAGGATCTCAGAAAGTATAAGAGCTAGAATAACCAAACTTGGTATACATATTCTCCTGAGCCCGAGAAAGGACGAGTTTGTTCATTTTTCCCCATGCACCCCCCGCTCTCCCCTATTCAAGATTTTCTATAACTCCCGTAATTCTTGGAATTTTGAACTAACTAGACACTTGGTAGACACATCCAGTTAGTGGTTATATATCCGTATACCAAGTTTTATTATGATAGGTTGATCAGAAAGAAAGTTATAGCCATATAACCAGGCCCAATGCATACATACATACATATGTCCAAGTGCACAAACACGCATAGGCACGATTCTGATGTAAATTTTAATGTATGTATGCATGTATGGAATATTTTATATTTAATTTAGTTAATAAATTAAATTAATTTAATTAAATTAATTAATTAATTAAATTTATTTCTTTTTTGTGGAGTGGTACAGGGTACTTAAGAGTTGAGCCTGCTCGACTTTAGCATTCCTTTCTTGTTTTAAAGTTTTAATTTTTAAAATTTACAAAAGTAAATAAACAAAATTGTTTTTAATTTTAATAATAAGTACTGAAAAGTTGGGCCCGCCTTACCTTAGCATTCCATTCTTGATTTGTTAAATTAACTGACAAGTGAAAAGGAAAAATAGCAAAATCTAAATTAAAGCAAAAACTTAGTCCGGGAAATGGCGGGCAACATTTGCCCGTAAATATATGTATGTATGTATAAAAACTGCTAAACAGAAGACAAAGTAACAATCATTGAACTGCTCCTTGGGTTTTTATAGCCTGTACCCAAAGGGTGAAAGGCTATACTAGTTTTGTGCGCATGTATGTAACACACAGAAGGAGGCGTGGCAGACCCCAAAAAGTATATATATTCTTGATCAGGATTAGAAGACGAGTCGATATAGCCATGTCCGTCTGTCTGTCTGTCCGTCTGTCTGTATGAGCGCAAGGATCTCAGTAAGTACAAGAGCTAGGATAACCAAAATTGGTATCAAGGTTCCTATATGCCCTAGGCAGATTGAGTTTGTTTATTTTTTCTGATACACAATTCGTGTTTTTTCTTATAACTTCCGTAATTCTCGGAATTTTGAAATCAATTTTGGTAGGTACATCCAGCTAGTACTAATGTGCCCATGTGCCAATCATTTCATCATGATAGGTCAATTCTGAAGAAAGTTATAGCCATAAGTAAAATCGCTGCCAATGCGCTGCCTGCAGATCTGTCGGCAGCTGTTGTTGTTGTTGCTGCTTTGGTTCAACTTTGTGCTGCATACATACACGCATATAAACACGCATAGGTACGTGATGTAAATGTATGCTGTTAAAACTGAACATAAACATGTATTCTAATTTAATTTAATTAATTAATTCATTCATTTTTTTTTAATAATTTAATTTAAAAAAAAAAATTTTTTTTTTTAATTTTTCCTTTTTGTGGAGAGTACAGGCTATTTTACTGTCGGGCTTGCTCGACTGTAGCGTTCTATCTTGTTTTTGAGTGGTATACTACCATAGACTCCGTAATCGCAGCGTTTTTATAAGGTAAAATCAAAAACAATTTAAATATAGCACTAATTAAATTAAATAAACGACTACATGACCAACCGGCCAATTGATCTATTTCAGCATATTAGGTGAAAAACATACTAACGGAAATGTTACAAAGACCTGCCATATATTTTTCACTTTCATTTAAAACGTGTTTTTGAGCTATAATTATACTGGCTTAAACGACTGCAAAAGCTCCAAAGCGCAATGGCACATAGTGTCACGAGTCACCGACCATATTGTGCTTTGAGCGCACAGGCAATGGTAAGACTCAACTAGTGCTTGAGCATGGAGCTTCTAAAGCTTTGTAATATGCTCTAACTCTCATTGAAAGTGAAACTGTTTGAAGTAAACGTTTAAAATGAGTTATTTTGGTTGGGAGTTTGGAATATTTTTTTCGCTACTGCGGTTTTTTGAGCTTTGTGAAATATCTACTATATTACCTAATAACGAGTGAAAAACTTGTACTAAAAATATCTTTTATCCTAAAAAGTCCAGTGTAGAAACAAGGCTATAAAAAGTAATGCGAAACTTGATTTAGAATTTTTGAAGGCTAGCTGATGTTATTTATTAACATGTTCTTTTTCGCATAGTTACGAATATAACTGTTATAGTTAAATAATGTAAGAGTTTGTGTTCAAAAGTATACAAATCTTCTAAATATGCCCATATTTCCATTGCAAACATATAGTATATTTAAAAGCTTACCATTTAGTTGGGCATTGACAGTTGCCAATCTACATCAAAAGAGCATAAAATACGCTCCCAAAAGTGTCGGCCGACTTGTTGCTTATAAATGTGCAAAGTATGCAGGTTTTCTTTACGATAACTGATGTTACTGCTATGTGGATAGGAAATTGACCTATTTCCAAAAATCACGATTTATGTAGCGGTAATAATACATTAAGAAACAAGTTGTGTTAACTGTATTCTCAGTCATCCAATTATTTATACTTATAATAGGTAAGCCTTAAGTTCTCTTAATTTAAATGCGCCTAATTTCGTGCTCCAGTTTTTATACCCTGTACCCAAAGGGTACAAGGGTATATTAGTTTTGTGCGAGTGTACATGTAACACACAGAAGGAGGCGAGGCAGACCCCACAAAGTAAATATATTCTTGATCAGCATGACAAGCCGAGTCGATATAGCCATGTCCGTCTGTCCGTCTGTATGAACGCAAGGATCTCAGAAAGTATAAGAGCTAGAATAACCAAACTTGATATACAGATTCTCCTGAGCCCGAGAATGGACGAGTTTGTTCATTTTTCCCGATGCACCCCCCACTCCCCCCCTATTCAAGATTTTCTATAATAGGGGGTAATTCTTAAAATTTTGAACTAAAATTTGGTAGACACATCCAGTTAGTGATGTCCGTATACCAAGTTTCATTATGATAGGTTGATCAGAAAGAAAGTTATAGCCATATAACCAGGCCCAATGCATACATACATACATATGTCCAAGTACACAAACACGCATAGGCACGATTCTGATGTAAATGTAAATGTATGTATGCATGTATGGAATATTTTATATTTAATTTAGATAATTAATTAAATTAATTTAATTAATTTAATTAATTAAATTAAATTAATTTATTTTTTGTGGGGTGGTACAGGGTATTTAAGAGTTGAGCCTGCTCGACTTTAGCATTCCTTTCTTGTTTAAATTTTGTTTGTAGTAGTTAAAAAGGTAAAAAATTTACTATTAATAAGTTCTTCATTGTCAAAATGAATGAAATTTATTGTTTCATCATCAGATGTAGATTAAAGATTAATGAGAAACTTGTTATACTATATATAAACTGTACAAAGTTTATAGGGGGGAAAGGGTATAAGGACAAAAAGGAGCGTGGGAGATAGCACAAAGCATACTTATATTCGTAATAAATGTACATATATTTATAGCCTGTACCCAAAGGTTGAAAGGTTATACTAGTTTTGTGCGAATGTATGGAACACACAGAAGGAGGCATGGCAGACCCCACAAAATATATATATTCTTGATCAGGGTGACAAGCCGAGTCCATTTAGCCATGTCCGCCTGTCCGCCCGTCCGTCTGTATGAGGGCAAGGATCTTAGAAGGTACAAGAGCTAGAATTACCAAACTTGGTATCCAAGCCCTAGGCAGGTCAAGTTTATTTTTTAATTCTGATACACCCCCCCCCCCACTCCCCCACAATTCGTGTTTTTTTTTATAACTCCCGTAATTCTTGGAATTTTGAAATCAGTTTTAATAATTACGTCCATTTAGTGCTTATGTGTCTGTATGCCAAGTTTCATCATGATAGGTCAATTCTGAAGAAAGTTATAGCCATAAATAAAATCGCTGCCCATGCTCTGCTTGCAGCGCTGCCCGCAGCTGTTATTGTTGTTGCTTATATGCACAAGTATATAAACAAGTATAGACAAGTGATGTAAATCTGTACATAAAGATTTCTTCTACATATGTATGTATTAAATAAATTTTCTTAATTAATTTAATAAATTAATTAATTTTTTTTTAAATAATTTAATTTTTTTTAATTTTCTTTTTTGTGGAGAGTACAGGCTATTTTACTGTCGGGCTTGCTCGACTGTAGCGTTCTATCTTGTTTTGTACTTACGTTTGGAAATGCCTGGCATATTGCGCTGCCCAATATAATCGTAATAGTAAATCCAAATATTGAAAACATTTTAAGAAATAATATATAAAACTTAAGCTGAAACGAGAGAAAGAATAAATAGATATATTAAATACAAAGTCCACAGAGTACATATACAAACATATATTCTTAATCACTATGCTAAATTGAATCAATATAGCCATGTTCGTCTGTATGTATGACCGCATGTACATGAAATGTATTAGGTTTGCGGGAGCTGAAAAATGTAACTGGCAGAAGGAGGCGTGGCAGACCCCACAGAGTATATACATACATATATTCTTGATCATCATGACAAGACGAGTCGATCTAGCCCTGTCTGTCTGTAAGTCCGTCCGTATGAACACCTGGATCTCAGAGACTATAAGAGCTAGAGACACCAAATTTTGCACAAACATGCCTTATATGTGTACGCTGTTTTATTATTTTTATTTTTTTATACCCTGTACCCAAAAGGTACAAGGGTATATTAGTTTTGTGCGAGTGTACATGGAACACACAGAAGGAGGCGTGGTAGACCCCACAAAGTATATATATTCTTGATCAGCATGAAAAGCCGAGTCGATATAGCCATGTCCGTCTGTCTGTATGAACGCAAGGGTCTCAGAAAGTATTAAAGCTAGAATAACCAAACTTGGTATACAGATTCTCCTGAGCCCGAGAAAGGACGAGTTTGTTCATTTTTCCCGATGCACCCCCCTACTCCACCCCTATTCAAGATTTTCTGTAACTTCTTGGAATTTTGAACTAAAATTTGGTAGTCACATTAAGTTAGAGATTATATATCCGTATACCAAATTTCATTATGATAGGTTGATCAGAAAGAAAGTTATTCCATATAACCAGGCCCAATGCACACATACATACATATGTACAAGTATACAAACACACATAGACACGATTCTGATGTAAATGTATGTATGCATGTATGGAATATTTTATATTTAATTTCGTTAATTAATTAAATTAATTAATTTCTTTTTGTGGGGTGGTACAGGGTATTTAAGAGTTGAGCCTGCTCGACTTTAGCATTCCTTTCTTGTTATTCTTATTCTTCTGTTTTCACTGCATACATGCGCACACACAGACACGCATATTATACTTACATAGACACAATCCTTTGTATTTATGTACATAAGTATGCAATTACTATATACACGCTTAACGTGAGTTTATGTACCAAGGAAGGTAAAATCATTTTTTGTATTTTTTTTTTAGGTTTTCTTAATTTTTGCAGTTCCTATAATTATTCCACACATATGTACAGAGTATTTCAAAGGCGGAACACCCGTAACGATCGGTTAAAACCATTTGTGTATTACGGGATATTCATGAAATGTTGTAACTAAATACCCGAAGGGTAAAAGGGTATATTAAAGAGTATAATTGGCGTATGTAATTTATGTAGCAAAATGAAAGAGGCCTGACAGGCCCCATATATGTATTTCTATCTACCCGTATAACCACCGGAAACTTTTGAATCATAACAGCTAAGGGCACCACTGTTGACTTGTTCATATGTAAAACATGTTTATTATAAATCTTATATTGTCTCATTAAAAACAAGTAAAAAAGCTAAAGTCGGGTGTCCCGACTTTCAAATACTCTGTACATATGTTTACAGTAATTATAGAAAACAAACAAAAATGAAAAAAAAACACGTTTTCTGCGTATTCACATAAGGCATCTTGGACTTTGTATTCCCTAGGTTTTATAGTCTCCGAGATACAGGCGATTATACGAACGGCGTTACGGAAAGCCCTGCCTGTCTGTCCGTCTGTCCTTATGAACACCTCGATCTCAGAGGCTATAGGAGATTGAATCACCAAATTTTTTACATACTCGTAAATTCTTTATGTGTGTACTCAGTACGGGTTTATTTTATTATATTATGAAATGTACAAGAGTATACTAGGTTTGAGCGAGCGGAAAAATGTTACAGGCAGAAGGAGGCGTGGCAGACCCCACAAAGTATATTCTTGATTAGCGTGACAAGACGAGTCGATCTAGCCCTGTCTGTCCGTCTGTCCGCCCGTCCGTCCCCGGACCGTCAGCAAGTACAATAGCTAGGATAACCAAACTTGGCATTGAGGTTCCCCTAAGCCCTAGGCAGATCGAGTTTGTGTTTTTTTTCTGATACACCCCCCCCTCCCCCACTCCCCCGCAATTCGTGTTTTTCCTAACTCCGGTAATTCTTGGAATTTTGAACTCAAATTTGGCATATACATCCAGTTCGTGGTTATTTGCTGCTTTGGTTCAACTTTGTGCTGCATTCATACACGCATAGGCACGTGATGTAAATGTATGCTGTTAAAACTGAACATAAACATGTCTTCTAATTATATTTAATTAATTAATTCAATTTTTTTTAAATTTAATTTTTAAAGAAATTTTTTTTTTTTTAATTTATCTTTTTTGTGGAGAGTACAGGCTATTTTACTGTCGGGCTTGCTCGTCTGTAGCGTTCTCTCTTGTTTTAATTTTCCTTTTTTGTGGAGAGTACAGGCTATTTTACTTTCGGGCTTGCTCGACTGTACCGTTCTCTCTTGTTTTTATTTTTTCTGTCATGATAAGTCAATTATGAAGAAAGTTATAACCATAAAAGTAATTTCTAAACTGTACATACATAAACACTTAATTTAATTTAGTTAATTACATTTTTTACATTTAATAAATTACTTTTTTTTAAATTTATGTTAAAGTACATATTTTAAAAAGTAACATTTGTTTGTACAGGATATTCTAGTTTTTAAATAATTGTGAGAATTGTTCAAAATGTTATTTTTTTGTTTGTTTTTATTTGTGTTAATTTTGTGATTTTTGTAACTCCTTGTGCCTTTATACTATAAATGAAGAAGCTCTCGCGCGGGTACTGTAAAATTTTAAAGGTGAAATGAAACGATTTATGACAAAATATTATCAGGTAAAGTATTTACATATGCACAATGCTAAGATATACATAGTCCTACTTAAAAGTTGGCTTACTATTTACTCCAAATTTTGACATGCGCTCCTAAGTTACAGAAAACAAGAAAGGAATGCTAAAGTCGAGCAGGCTCAACTCTTAAATACCCTGTACCACCCCACAAAAAAATAAATAAATTTAATTTAATTTAATTAATTAACTAAATTAAATATAAAATATTCCATACATGCATACATACATTTACATCAGAATCGTGTCTATGCGTGTTTGTGTACTTGTACATATGTATGTACTTGTATGTGAGCATTGGGCATGGTTATATGGCTATAACTTTTTTTCTGATCAACCTATCATAATAAAACTTTGTATACGGACATATAATTACTAACTGGATGTGTCTACCAGTTTAGTTTAAAATTCCAAGAATTACGGGAGTTATAGAAAATCTTGAATAGGGGGGGAGTGGGGGGGGTGCATCGGAAAAAATTAACAAACTCGTCCTTTCTCGGGCTCAGGAGAATCTGTATACCAAGTTTGGTTATTCTAGCTCTTATACTTTCTGAGATCCTTGCGTTCATACAGACAGACGGACATGGCTATATCGACTCGGCTTGGCATGCTGATCAAGAATATGTATACTTTGTGGGGTCCACCATGCCTCCTTCTGTGTGTTCCATGTACACTCGCACAAAACTAATATATCCTTGTACCCTTTGGGTACAGGTTATAACTAGGTATGTAGACGCTCCTAGTTTATATGAGTTTATTTGTTTAATTATTTTTTCCCCTCTTCTTTCCGCACTACAGAATTTCGTCAGTGCTTTTCACATTGCAGATTTTACTTTGCACATGTAGTCTAGTATATACAACAATCTAATTTTGTTTCAAATTTCAACCACATCGGTCAATTTTAAGAAGTTATCTAAAAGTTATTAGCGAAACAATTGCAGTCCAGTACTGCGCCCACAAACTGCAGCAAGTTAACTCTATTTATACCCTGTACCTAAAGGGGTAAAAGGGTATATTAGTTTTGAGCGAGTGTACATGGAACATACAGAAGGAGGCGTAAAGGACCCCACAAAGTACAGGGAGCGCCATCTTTTATGTCGGTATGTAAACATTGAATATCTTTGAAAATAGACAACCGATTTTCAAGTATGAGATATTTTTATTTAATTTGGTTCTGTACAATTTCTTGAACTGAGGTTTTCAACACTGGTCTACTCAAGTCAATCGGTTCACTAATGACAAAGTTATTCAATATTTACATACCGACATAAAAGATGGCGCACCCTGTATATATATTCTTGATCAGCATGACAAGCCGAGTCGATATAGCCATGTCCGTCTATCTGTCTGTCTGTCTTTATGAACGCAAGGATCTCAGAAAGTATAAGAGCTAGAATAACCAAACGTGGTATCCAGATTCTCCTGAGGCCGAGAATGGACGAGTTTGTTCATTTTTCCCCCACTCCCCCCCCCCCCCCCCCTTATTCGTGATTTTCTAGAACTCCCATAATTCTTGGAATTTTAAATTAAAATTCGGTAGTCACATCCAGTTAGTGATTATATATCTTTATACTAAGTTTCATTATGATAGGTTGATTAGAAAGAATGTTATAGCTTTGACATAATTATGTAATGCACACATACATATGTACAAGTACACACGCATAGACACGATTCTGGTGTAAATGTAAATGTATATATGGAATATTTTATATTTAATTAAATTAATTAAATTTTTTAATACATTTTTTTTGTGGGCCTGCTCGATTTTAGCATTCCTTTCTTTGCTTCTGGGCGCATATAACTCAGTGGCAGAAGTTTGTCTGGGTACGGGGTATTTCACTGTCGAGCTTGCTCGACTGTAGCATTCTCTCTTGTTTTGTATTAAAATCATTGACTATGTATTTCCAAGCGCACACACATAGCTTGTATGAATACGGTTGATGCATTTAATAAAGTTTTGCGAAATTGTGCAAGAGAATAATTAAGGTATCAGCAGTTTCTGCACATAAGGTTGTGTGCTTGAGGGCCAGTGGTGAAGAATTCACATACATTTTGGTTTGTAAACAAAAGCAATTAATAAAGACTGCTAACTTGCAATATAGCCTCAAAATGTTGATGGCTTAGTATACACAAAATTAAGAGTACATACTTGTATGTACATGTTTGGCATTTATCCTGATTTGCTCTTTTATCTTATTGCTTACCTAAGACCGATGTTTTGTAACTCCTGATAACGTTTAACGTTATAATTGGAACATTTATACACGTATTATCCCGTAGTTCTGTCGATCATATATATAGGTAAGTGATATTTCCTATTCACCGTTTATATATACATACTTTATGTATGTATGTTTGTACTATTCGTACATATATGTATGTATGTACTATCTATTATGTAGGATGGCTGAAATAACAAAATGCTTGAGTACTGAAATTGCTTAACGTTTTCGCGTTGATGTGAACGATCAAGAAGTGATAATTGCAACAACAGGGCACTTTTACAGAAACGCAGAACGAACAGAAACAACGACGAACACAGATTAAGCTTGTCCGAGCCGCACGCAATTATTAAATACGACCTAAAATTAGGTTGTTGTTGTAGAACTTCGTACTGGAGTTGTGTTGACTGTGGTTTTTGTTATTCGTGTTAACGAATTTTATTTATTTATATTTCACTCATTTTGATTTTTTGCGTTGCTTTTTTCTTACTTGTAACCTTCTAAATCCACAAAAATAAATGAACAAACGGTGTGAGCAATAAATTTATTTTGGCTGTTGGTGCGAGCGAGATGATCTGATCGCTTGCGTTCAAATGCCAAATCACTTTTTCACATTGCGTCGTGGAGGAGTTTCGTAACTGGGGGATATGGAGATTGAGTAAATTAAATTGTCTGACTGACTGGGAAGCTATTTTTTATTTCTTTATTTGAGCTTTTAAGATAACGTTTGGGTGATTGACGTCACTTTATATTGAAGGTCGTTGTTATAGAGCCACAGTTATGTTCTGATTTTAAGGGAAATTTGAAGCCAAGCTTACATAAGCAGCGTCAAAAATGTGTAACTGCGATATCTGGCCTTTTCAGACTTATGCACTTTTTTCTTTTGTTATCTCTATTGGCAACGGCGTATATTGCTACTCTTAAACCGTTTTTGTGGCCGTCTACGGAAACAGGTCGGCACACACTAAAACGGTCGAAACAACAATTCAGCTTAGTCCAAAATAAAAAGCGCACGATCACAACAACAAAAAGCTGATGTCAGCTATGTCTACAGCTACAGTGTGAGTGAGATGGTCTGCAGAGCTTTTGCAGCGGCTGTTGGCCCCAACCAGTCAAAGCTAATACAACTTGGCTTAAGTCATTGTTGCCTTGAAAGCTTCAAATGAAAGTGAAAACACTTGCATTTTCCACAGTACAGACAAAGCGCTAAAAGTACGAATCACTCAAAATTTGAGTAACTTGCGCGTTGGATAACTGTTCGAGTGTCTTGGCTCATTATTGCATTAGTTCATATTGCATCGTCTTTCTAGCCGTAGCATTGAAAAACTTTTGTCAATTCTTAAAATAAATATCAGCCGTGCTCGTCTTGAAATTTTTTGATGCAATCTTCACAAAAAATGGGGAAAAATACAGTTCCTAAAGTTCAAGTTTTTATACATATGCATATATGTATACATATATAATATATTTACATATAACCTTCACTGAAAAGTGTAAAGGTAGAATATTTTGGCGTGCAAGTTTAAAACACCCATCTTAACCTTATGCATGACGAGAGAAATCCATATCCGTCAATCCATGTCAATCAGTGCTAGCGCGTTGGAACTTTGAACAACAGATAATATGTCGAAATGAGTAATTTTGTTGATCTAGAAATAGATAATATATATGTTCTTTTTGTTATTAATGTTACAGTTTATTAGTTTTCTTTTGGTGCATTTTCTATTGTCCTAAGTCATTTATTTACTTACTTAAAATGTGGAAAAAGTGCAGGGTTTCAACAAGAAAAGTATGCGTACAAAATACTGGGAAGCAACGAAAAGTGTTTTTTATAGCCTGTACCCAAAGGGTAAAAGGATATACTAGTTTTGTGAGAATGTATGTAACACAGAGAAGGAGGCGTAACAGACCCCACAAAGTACTATTGATCAGGTTGACAAGTCGAGTCGATATAGCCATGTCCGTCCGTAAGGATCTGTGGAACTACAAGAGCAAGAATAACCAAACTTGGTATCCAGATTCTCCTAAGTCCAATAAAGGACAAAAACATCGATTTAAAATCGGAAACAATAGCTTACGTGATAATTTATACATCGATGTATCGAGGAATATTTACATCACTATGCTGCATACATACACGCATAGGCCCTCATAAACACGATGATTTACATCATGCTGGTGAAACTGTACATAAACATAACTTCACTTTTGTATTTATATATGTATTAAATATTTTGTATTTAATTTAATTAATTAATTACATTTTTTAAAATTATTTTATTTTATTTAATGATTTTTTTTTTTTACTTTTCCTTGTTTGTGGAGTACAGGCTATTTTACTGTCGGGCTTGCAGGGCTGTAGCGTTATCTCTTGTTTAAATAATTTAACATTTGCACATAACTTTTGGGGTCCCGGTTCATCTACGGCAAAGTCCCTATATAAGAACAAGCCCGTTAGTGTAATACCCTGTACCCAGGTAAACTTCCGTCACTGAGTTATATGTGCCCATAGCAGCAGTAAAAACAGGAAGAAGAGGGAACTTATTGCTACAACCCCCCCTGTACGGGCGAGAATTTGTTTAGCTAATAACTTTTCTTAGAAATGACCGAATTGAATAATTGAATTTTAAACAACAGTAGATAAATATATATAAATTATGTGTGCAAAGTTTGGTTTAGGTAGCATTTGAAATGTGGACGCTAATTCTGTAGCATGGAAAAGGGGGGAAAATTTCAAAAAAAAAAAAACAAGTAAAAAAGCTAAAGTCGGGTGTCTCGACTTTGAAATACTCTGTACATATGTTTAGAATAATTATGTTCGAATGTTCGCAATCAACCAAAGAATCAGCATCAACAACAGCTGCGGGCAGCGCTTGAGAAGCGCTATAGGCGATTATACGAATGGATAATCGAGAAAACCCCCTTAGGAGGGAAGTGAGGGTGAAATCAAAAAATAAAAATAAAACAAATTCGTATAGCGTACACACATAAGGCTATTGCATCTTTGTGCACAATTTGGTGTCTCTATCTCTTATAGTCTCTGAGATCCAGGCGGACGGACGGACAGACAGACATAGATCGACTCGTCTTGTCATGCTGATTAATAATATATACTTTATGAGGACTGCCACGCCTCCTTCTGCCTGTTACATTTTTCAGCTCCCGCAAACCTAATATACTAATATAATATACTACATTTCATGTACAGATAAGAAGTATACCCGTTTTTTATATACAAACAAAGTTTGAAGTTAATCAGATGAAAATTGTAGATTTTTTATAGTAATAACTTACACTTTAATACTAGTGTCCAAATTTCATTTCACGTCACGTCAGATTGGAAATGCCAATACAGTGCGATTACATTCTGTTGTACATTTTGCCATTTATTCTAAAAAATTTGATCAATTTTAATGAAATAAGTAAAAATTACGAAAACGTACGGCAAAGAAAAAGGTTAGGAAAAATTAAAACGAAAACAACAAGCGATTCAGTTACACAGGCAGTACCGCACGATTTGAAGCCGACAGCGTCTGCTCATCTTCGACTTCGCCAGTACTATGAACAGTTTCTCGGGAATCCAAATGTTTGTTTCTGCGGGAGTAGTTTCGGGAGAACAACTCCTATACAACGCACGAGCATTGAATACCACCGGCATCCTATAACAGTAAATTTAATTTATTTAATATTTTTGCAGAATTAGTTATAAACATACAAATTTTGTTTGACACCATTAACATATTTAATATTTCACGACTTTTATAGCACAAACAAATGCATAAGCAAATTCATGCATTAGTACAAACTAAAAAAAAATAGTGCAGCTTTTATCTCAAAATACAAAAACATTGAAATGACTGTTTCAAAATATTTTACGAACATGCTATACAAACACCCACAAAAATGCGAACACATACATACATACGTGCAATGTGCATCTAACAATTCTTATTTATTTCGAAAATGTTAATAACCTTACCAGTTTCTGACTGTTTACCTTTCATCTGCTTGCTCATATCAATATTCATTTACTGTATGTGGAATCGACAAATACGAGTTTATAATTAAAGAAAACAGGTTACACAAGTGTGCCTCTAGGTGACTGACATTTTGGCAAAAAATCTGTACTTAGCTGAAACTGCAAGGAACGTACACTCAGAAAATGTTGTTACTTATCGTTTAGAGTAATATACTTGTAATACTATAAACAAAATAATCAATTATGATAAAAAGGAAAAAAAACTGAATTTTTCTATATTATGGTGCTGTCTTAAATTTTAAAATTATAAGTATACCAAGTCTTGCCCGCCTTTGGTCGGCTATGTACAAGTATTTAAACTCTGTACATGAAATGTACAAGAGTACACCTAGCCCTCGCTTAACGCGGGGGTTACGTTCCTTGAACACGTCGTGTTAAGCGAAATCGCGTTTAACGAGCCATGTATTTCCATACAAAATGAGGGTTTACGTTCCTAGACTTCGAAAAATGCATACAACAAATTTATTAGTTTCAAAAACATAAAAAGGTTTATTCAAATTGCAAAAGTTTTCCAAAGTAAAAAGAGAACTCAAATGTACTTGTATGTATTAAAGTAAAATAGAAATTCATTTAGTGGCATTTATAGCAGCTTTAGTAATTAACATTTTTTATATGGTGGCTTGCCACGCAAAGGGGTGGTAAAAAATCTTAAAGCTTCATAGCAGCTCTCCTTATATGGTTTATTTTCTTTTGCTGCCATGTAGAAACTGCAATTTGTATAATTTACTTTATACCATTTTATTTCATTCAACGGTTAAACCATTTCACTTATCACAAGAATTTTAATCTTACTATCTGCGCGTCTGAAGAAATAAAGTTTTGCTCACCTTAGCAACTTTATGTATGGACATTAGAGTATGCACTCATTTTTTTTGTTGTTCCTTGTACTCTGATGGTGTTGAAAGTGGGAGTTCCCTTTTTCTATCACATCTCATGTGTAGTGATACATACTATACCCAAATATACTCACGCAATAATCGACAAAAAAAAAAAAATCGATTTTGTCAATCGCGTTAGAATGAGGTATTTCACCGCGTTAAAAGAGAAAAGGTAGAAATTTTGAAATCTCGTTAGACCGAGTTAGCATTAAAAGAGTTAGCGTTAAGCGAGGGCTAGGTGTATATTAGGTTTGCGGGAGGTGAAAAATGTAACAGGCAGAAGGAGGCGTGGCAAACCGCACAAAGATGTATATTCTTGATCAACATGACAAGACTAGGCGATCTAGCCCTGTCTGCCTTTCTGTCCGTCTGTCCGTCCGTATGAACACCTGGATCTCAGAGACTATAAGAGATAGAGACACCAAATTGTGCACAAAGATGCAATAGCCTTATGTGTGTACGCTATACGAGTTTGTTTTATTTTTATTTTTTGATTTTCCCCCCACTTCCCCCCTATGGGGGTTTTTCCGATTTTCCATTCGTTTAATCGCCTATATCTCGGAGACTATAAGACCTAGGAACACCAAAATTTAGTCCCAGATGCCTTATATGAATTTTTTTTATTTTCTATAATTATTGTAAACATATGTACATAGTATTTCAAAGTCGGAACACCCAACTTTAGCTTTTTTACTTGTTAATAAAATATATATATTTTATTAAATATATTTTTTAATATATAATATGTTTTGTGCATATATGGAAAAATTCAAAAAGTTATCCTACTTTAAAGTTACATTACATTTTCAAAAAACACGCATTTCGGACCCTATTTCATCAACAAGAGTACGCATGAAATCGAAATATGAAACACAACTTTCTAACTGTGGTTGTTTGAGTGTCTGTTTGTACTGTCCCCAAATGTTCAGTATTTTTATAGCCTGTACCCAAAGGGTGAAAGGCTATACTAGTTTTGTGCGCATGTATGTAACACACAGAAG